CTAACAAACAATACTGATGGTTCTAAGATCAACAGCCTAACAAACAATATTGATGGTTCTAAGATCAACAGCCTAACAAACAATACTGATGGTTCTAAGATCAACAGCCTAACAATACTGATGGTTCTAAGATCAACAACGTTACAAACAATACTGATGGTTCTAAGATCAACAACCTTACAAACAATACTGATGGTTCTAAGATCAACAACCTTACAAACAATAGTAACAGTTCTAAGATCAACAACCTTACAAACAATACTGATGGTTCTAAGATCAACAGCCTAACAAACAATACTGATGGTTCTAAGATCAACAACCTTACAAACAATACTGATGGTTCTAAGATCAACAACCTTACAAACAATACTAACAGTTCTAAGATCAACAACCTTACAAACAATACTGATGGTTCTAAGATCAACAACCTTACAAACAATACTGATGGTTCTAAAGATCAACAGCCTAACAAACAATACTGATGGTTCTTAGATCAACAACCTTACAAACAATACTAACAGTTCAAAGATCAACAACCTAACAAACAATACTGATGGTTCTAAGATCAACAACCTTACAAACAATACTAACAGTTCAAAGATCAACAACCTAACAAACAATACTAACAGTTCTAAGGCACTAAGCCTAACAATACTTATTAACTTGTTGTCAGTTACAGGTGTTATTGCTTCATGACTTGATTCAAGACCAGGCTTCCTAGTTTGATACATAAGAACATAAGAAAGGAGGAACACTGCAGGAGGCCTGTTGGCCCATACTTGGCAGGTCCTTTACAATTCATCCCACTAACAAAACATTTGCCAAACCCAGTTTTCAATGCTAACTCTAAAATTCACAAAGAATACTGTTGGCTCAACAACTTAACAAACAATACTACAGCTCAGAGAACCACAAACTATCAGAGAGTACTAAATTATGTTTATAATTCCCAGAGCCTAATACCAAATAAAGAAGAAAAACGAGACAAATATTTTTAAGGACTTCCAAAACTCGAAACTTTTTATCTGCCAGAATACAAGCCACTTAGGAATTCAATATACACTGCAGACACCTTGTATCTCGTGTCACAATGGATATCATTAGTACATAAAATGAAAAAATACACTGAAGTAGTTCAATTCTGGCTTTACCTTTTAATATCTTTACCCGGTGACTAAGATGAAAGCAGTGGAAAATTCATGCCAGCAGGAAATTAGGACTAAATGGTAGACTGAGCAATGCAATGCTTTAATTAGAGTCCAGATGGCCCTTTCTTGGGACCTTCTTCTAATCACTTCAAATTTTGATTGTGTGGCACCTAGCTGGATAGTCTACATGTAACCTTGGGTCATGACGTAACTATTAGCTTTCCAAAAATTTCCAATATGATATAACTATAGAAAGTTAATCGGCTTTCTTACTAGCATCTACCCACCTTTTCAACTTCATTCTTAAGAGAAATGAAAATTTAGTACTATTTTGATATCTTTAGTTAATGGCAGCACAAATGAAGGCAGGAATAAACTTAATGTACAGTAAAACCTCTCGTTAACAGATTTTGACAATTTAGGACAAAAAAAATAGCCAGACAAGCACTTTAATTATTGGACAAAATGGACAAAACTCTGTAATTCCATATATTGTGCATAGCAATAGTGTCCAGTTATCTTGTGAAGGACTGGGCCAAGTCTGCTAACTGCAACTTTTGTCCATTATGGGCTACAGCAGCCACATCCAGGACTTATCTGTTTTTGTTGTTCCCTGAGCCGTAGGCCATTCATGCCAGTTTACTGTTTGTCTTCACCCACGCATACACTCATCGTTCGGTCTCTAATTTTCCCTGGATTCAGAAGATTGTGTGTGGCTTTATTAACGTATTAGGTAAAGTGCAATTAACAATGGTTTCTAAAGCAAGTGGTGGTGCCAAGAGACAATGTGTGGTTCTTAGAAATCTACATCTGAGAAGATGTAGATTTCTATATCTTCTCAGTGTGTCTTGTTGTGTCCTGCATCAGTGAACCAAGTCCACTACTTCAGAAGACTACCAGGCAATTATGAAATATTAATTTCAGAATTACAGAGTTGTGGACAATTGACATTACCATACACCCCCTCTCCCAAATAATCCATTAAGGAGAGAATTTACTGCACTGCAAAAGCTTTTTTTTACCTTAGATTTTAAAAACCTAAATGAATCTTTCTGGGAATGAATTCCTATGAACTAGTAAGGATAAAAACTTAAGTAAATAGCTCTTAAATCACTAGTCTTATTACCTCTCACTTTCTAGATCAGTTTGCTCTTATTTTCTATTGGAATGCAAGTGTCTTAAGCTAAGGAAGAAGAGCTATGAAGTAATACAGAGATCGTAAACAGATGGTTTAGGAGATATGCAGTGAAGCTTTATTCTACACAGAAAGTACTGTTTTTCTTTCTTCAAAACACTGCAATACTGATATACAAAGAATCTAATGACCCATTCCAAACAGGCAAATGTGTCCCATTTTACATCAGCAGCCCTTGACTTGTAAACGACAAACATTGCTTCTTTCAGGATGCTACAATGTACCCTTTACTACAGGGTGTCTCAAAAAATATATACACATATTCCATAAAAAATACTACATGATATTTACTGAAGAAGAAACATGTATTATAGAATTCAGTAAAGAATTAGTTTTTCACGTGATTAATTATCACAGACATCAAAAATGTTCACTACTGGCAAAAGCCACTGCTAAATGGTGAAGAGCTGAACAACAAACATCAGCAAAAGTTTCCACTTGGATAGCTACACAGAACTGCTCAATTTCACGTTTAACTCTTCAAGCATCCGGCTAAAACTAGTGTATACTGAAGCACTCGAGTCAGTGCCATGCCACTATGTGGGTCGGCTCATAAACCATACTTAGCAAGAAAAGGAGTGAGTATATGTTTTGTTGAGACACCTTGTACATATTTCAAGGCAGCCCTTGATAATGCTATGTCTTCCATGCAGTTATAATGCAATAGTGCCCTAAGCAGCAAATGTGCAGAAGTGCTCAGCTTTTCTTTTCAAAGTACTGTAAAAAATTATCCAACACAGCAAACAAAGCTCATGTTTATGTTTATGTTTGAAAATAATTTCTCACTAAATCAGTCCCGTAGTAAGTTATACCAATTATATTTCTAATTTTGAAAGTGCTGTATATACAATGGGTAAATCTGGATAATCACTGGAGCAGCAAAGACAATTTAAGTAACATAATTATGCCCATTTTCAGTAACAGGTCATTACTACAATTTTCCAGGAAGCTTTTAGTCATTTAATTTATTCTACTTGTTCCTCTTATTGTAATGAAACCAATTAGAAACAAGTTAAATTCTAAATTATCATTTTTGTTGCAAGATTCAAATTTCGAACACTTTACAACTAATGAGGGGAATAAGCAATGGTGCTTATATGTGAAAAAAATATATCCATCACAGCCTTTTATTCAACACTAATAGTGGACAATCTGTATTAATTGCTCGACTGAAATGTGGATCCAAAACCACGATATAATAAACGAGGGCTCTTTACTGCTAGCTGAATCCTCCCCATAAAATCTGAAATTTTTAGTGCAGAATCTTTTTAATTTTTTTTTACTATGACTGCAATTGTTTTTATTAGTATGCAATCTGTCATCGCTCACACCAAACCTGCAGTCTGTAAGTGATTATGCCTTCTCTAACCCTACAAACTTATTTCTCAAGTAAAACAAAATGCATTTACAGGAACTAAGAATATATTGAAAATAGTTCATTAGTATTCAGCCAAAGGATGTGAACTGATAAGAATTGTCATCAATACCAGGTAATAAAAAGCAAAGCTGTAATTCTAAACACAAATATTTGGTTTAAACACCTCATCAAATTAAACCTGAATCACACTGTATCTAGCATTAACATGCTGTTTAAAAGTTCACCTTGTGCACCCAACTTATGTACAGTACAGACCAAACTTTGAAGATCCATACCCAGAAGCCAGCCACACACTGCCATCACTTAAGCTTAACTCTATACAGCCTCTGCATGCACAGCTCATGTGTTACTCAAAATGACATATACAACCATATTTCAGAAAATGCCTTAGAGGAGATGCTCACATATATTTTTTTATAAAATTGCAGAAAATTTGATAGTTACCTAAAAGGTAATAAAAAGTGGAGACTGCTCATCTAATGCATTTTCTGAGATGAGTGACAATGTTGTCTTAAAGTGTCACCTACTCTTAAATATATAAGTACTTATTGCAAATCTTTATCATAAAGGGAAAGCAAGTGAAGTAACCCCTAATCCATCTTGCCCAAAGTATTTTTATATAAGTATTTATCATTAACTTTCTTAATGAGAAAGTGAACCATGACTGCAAGACAACAACAGTAGTTAGTCAAGAGATGGATTTGGGAAACCCCCATTATAAACCTTGGCCAAACACTAAACCATACAGTGCATCATACCACTGAGGCGTTAAAAGCACTTACAAATATCAAATGACTTATTTCATGATCATGAGTTTGGTATTTATTATTATGTAAGCATGTTAAGCTGTATAATTGGATTAAGTGTTGGAAAAGGTTTAGGGTGTGTGTTACCGAGCTTCCTTCTAAATACCACGGTGAAATGTATAATGTCTAGTGCATGAGAAAATTTTCCATGATAATTGAATTTTACCTCAATTGCCTTCTGGAATTTTTTTTTCACTAGACACCATACTTCATTACTGGTACCTAGTAGTTATCAGAAAATCCTAGACACCAGAAATCAGGACCAAGTATCTGATTATGAATAAGCATCTATACTCACTTCAAGTGAGACAGCATTAAAAAGTTTTAACTCTAATATCATAAAGCAATAGGTTTGCCACAGATTTCAAGAGAACACCAAAGTAGAGGTTGCAATACCTCATGGTAATCCTTTTGAAATTTAAGGTCCCATTTCTGTGGTCATGGGGTTTGGAGAAGTGTACGTATGAGCTAACCTGGGAGGTGGAAGTGTGAGGAGAGGGCCAGGCGGACCAGACTGGACATGGAGTGGGTGGAGGGCGAGAACACTGGGTGGGCCAGGCTTGGGGGTGGCCCACCTATCAATTGCCCCAAGCCTGTTCGTACATTACTGATACTAGCAGGCACATTAGGAGCATGGGGTGCCATTCCCCCACTGCCACACACCCCAGTACTGGGTGGCATGGTAGCTGATCCCCCCCTTCTCCTGGCAACCTGAGTGAAGGTTTCCAGCAAACTATGTGTCAATGGCTCAGTGTCTGCACTCGTTAGGTTGGGCACACTAACACTCATAGGCTGTGAAGACATGGTGGAGCGCCCAGTGCAGTCCCTCTTACCCTCACCCGTTACTACACCCCCACATCGCTTCCTGCTGCTGCTGGTCAGGCCCCCAATACTGCTGCTGCTGCTGCTCACACTGCCACTAATCCCTATACTGCTGATGTCTCCAAATTTTTCTTCATTCACTGTCAGAGCCGGACACTCCCCAGCTTGGCCCATGGAACCCACTTTAGTGTCCGAGGTTGGATGCAATCCCACATCCATCACAGTCATAGCCTCACTCATATCACCCGTACCAGATTTGATATCAGAGGTATTGAGTACAGACTCCAGAGAGGACATGGCATCAGAGAAGTCAGATGTGATGTCACGGTCGTTTAAGCTGAGAGACTGCACAAGAGATGCCAGTTCATTGCCTTTCTCACGTCCACTGCTCTCAACACTCAACAGAGCTTCAGCGCTGGCTACACTCAAAACATTTTCTGCAACAGTCTCTGCAGCCTGGAAAATAATAATATAAAGTGTGATTACATTCTTGAATGTATCCCGAAGTACATATGTACGTATATATTTTGTAAAAACTTACAAGTCTCAACTAAAATAATGATAACATATCATTATAACAACCAAAGAGTAAGTGATAAACTAATTATGTAATGAATTAGGGATAAACAACTAAGATTTTTTATTATAATTAAATTGAAGGGCAATGATTGGTGTAATATATATGCAGAAAATTCAGAGTGTGGAAATTGGAAGGTGTGGAGTTAATAAAGCATTAGTCAAAGCAGAAGAAAGGGGTTGTTTGAGGTGGTTTGGTCATTTAGAGAGAAGGATCAAAGTAATGACATGAAAGCTATTTAAATCGTAGGGGAAGGAAGGAGGAGTAGGGGTCGTCCTCGAAAGGGTTTGTAAAGAAGGGGTAAAGGAGGTTTTGTGGGCAAGGGGCTTGGACTTCCAGCAAGTGTGTCATGAGCGGTTAGATAGGAGTGAATGGAGACGAAAGATACTTGGACCTGACGATCTGTGGAGTGTGAGCAGGGTAATATTTAAGTATGGATTCAGGGAAACCGTTATTTTCATATGTCGGACTTGAGTCCTGGAAATGGGAAGTACAATGCCTGCACTTAAACGAGGGTTTGGATATTGGGCGTTTGGAGGGATATGTTGTGTATCTTTATACGTATATGCTTCTAAACTGTTGTATTCTGAGCACCTCTGCAAAAGCAGTGATAATGTGTGAGTGTGGTGAAAGTGTTGAATGATGATGAAAGTATTTTCTTTTTGGGGATTTTCTTTCTTTTTTGGGTCACCCTGCCTCGGTGGGAGACGGCCGACTTGTTGAAAAAAAAAAAAAAAAAAAAAATTACATGGTTTTACCTTTTTGAGTTTGTGGCATACAAGCTTGAGTTCTTCAATCTGCCTCTTTATAACTGATTTATATATGGGGAAGTGGAACAGAATTCTTCCTCTGTAAGCCATGCGTAATGTAAAAGGTGACTAAAATGCTGAGAGCATGGGGCTAGTAACCCCTTGTGCTATATACATTACTAAATTTAAAAAGAGAAACTTTTTTTTTTCTTTTTTTGGGCCACCCTGCCTCAGTGGGATACTATCGGTTCATTGAAAGAAGACTTACTTTTATGCTGCACAGATATTAAAAACATTTATTTGCTGTTAATGTACCAACTGAGATGGAGAGAGTACATACACAGATTTCTCAGTCCATTCATGGAAGTAAAGTTGTCCACATTCCAACAGCACAATAAATTTCTAAATTTTTTTGTCTTCACTCACTAAAATAGCCTCCCACATGCTAGCAAGATACTCAAGCCCTTACTTCTTTAACACATTTACTGTCTTGTCCATGAATCTACATTACTGATGCAAGGGCTCTTATGTAGATCTATGTAGATCAAATTTCTGTTATTTATATTGTTTATTATGCCATATTAGATCAAGTGAGATAGATAAATAAGCCATAAAGTTGATATTAGCGAAATTATTGAAGTACAGAATTCCACTGGAATGGATTAATTGCATTTCAATTAATTTAAATGAGAAAAATTGACTATGCAAATGAGCAAATCCAGTTGCAAGCAAGGTCATGGAAGAGATTAAATTCACAAGTAGAGGTTCCACTGTAATTTCAAATTTCCGGGGTCGCCTCACCAACCTACCACTACTGTTTGGTGGTGCTCTTTGCTGCACGAGTCATTCAAATTTGTTTTTCTCCATTTATTATTATAACCTGCTCACTTTCAACCCTAGCCATGGTTCCAACGAAGGAAATGATTCTCATTCTGTAAAGCACAAACACTGTACATTATCCACAAAAGATAAGGTGGCTTTAAAGCCACTGATGGTCCTGTAATATGACGCCATGAGCTCAACTCACTCAGATAAGCTGTGACTGGAACATTGTGCCTACATATGAGAGAATAGGTCTGTGTAGTAGGTATGCACTATATCAAAAAAATCCTGCAACACGCAGTGCATAACGAAAGAAACTGCGACAGTGTTTCTGGTGTAAAACAGCAATTTTGCGGTGTATTTTCACATGGTTCTTTTGGTTGTATTCTCAGTTTTTTTTTGGTCTCATTTGATAAAATGGAAGATATATTACAGAAATAGAGATGAAATATTCAAGGAGTATTTTGTCCTGCCTCCAAACACTCGTCGGCTGCTGCCACATATATAATGACATATTTTATTAATTTTAGAGTATATATCAGGTTTCTATGTTATTTATATTGTTTGTTATGTCATATTAGATGAACTGTGATAGATAAATAAGCTGTATAGATGATATTAGCGAAATTATTCAAGAAGTATTTTGTCGGGTCTCCAGACAAGCTGTCTGGAGCCTCATGGGGGTCCCAAAACATGGAGAGCCAAGATGATGGATGTGGTACTGGAAAATCTCATGCATCAACACGTCATGGACACTACCAGAGAGAAAGAGGGGAGAATGAACCAGCAAGACTGGACCTTGTGTTCACCCGGAGCAGTTCAGACACTGAAGACATTACATATGAGAGGCCCCTTGGAGCTAGTGATCACGTAGTTCTGAGTTCTGATTACATAGCAGAGTTACAAGTGGAGAGGGCAACAAGAGTTGAATGGGGAAAAGCCAAACTATAAAAGGGGGGACTACATAGGTATGAGGAGCTTCCTACGGGAGGTTCAGTGGGACAGAGAACTGGTAGGAAAGTCAGTAAATGAAATGATGGAATATGTAACAACAAAATGCAAGGAGGCAGAGGAATGGTTTGTTCCCAAGGGCAACAGAAACAATGGGATGACCAAAGCGAATCCTTGGTTTACCCAAAGGTGTAGGGAGGCAAAAACTAAGTGCATTGGAGAATGGAAGAAGTACAGAAGGCAAAGGACCAAGGCAAATAAGGAGATCAGTCGATGAGCCAGAAATGAGTATGCACAGATAAGGAGGGAGGCCCAGCGACAGTATGAAAATGACATAGCATCGAAAGTCAAGTCTGACCTGAAACTGCTGTATAGCCACATTAGGAGATAGACAACAGTCAAAGAACAGGTGATCAGGCTGAAGAAAGAAGGTGGGGAACTCACAAGAAACGATCAAAAGGTATGCAAGGAGCTCAACACGAGATTTATGGAAGTATTCACAGTGGAGACAGGAAGGACTCTGGGAAGAGAGGACAGAGGGGGGACACCAACAAGTGCTGAATGACATACACACAATTGAGGAGGAAGTGAAGAAGCTGCTAAGTGACCTTGATATATCAAAGGCAATGGGACCAGACATCTCCCCATGGGTCCTAAGAGAGAGAGCAGAAATGCTGTGTGTGTGTCATTAACCACAATCTTTAACACATCCCTTGAAACTGGGCAACTACCTGAGGTATGGAAGACGGCAAATGTAGTTCGTATTTTTTAAAAAGGAGACAGAAAAGAGGCACTAAACTACAGACCAGTGTCACTGATGTGTATAGTATGCAAAGTCATGGAGAATATTATCAGAAGGAGAGTGGTGGAGCACCTGGAACGGAACAAGATTATAAACGACAAACAGCACAGATTCATGGAAGGCAAATCCTGTGTTACAAACCTTCTGGAATTTTATGACAAAGTTACAGAAGTAAGACACGAGAGAGAGGGGTGGGTTGATTGCATTTTCTTGGATTGCAAGAAGGCCTCTGACACAGTTCCTCACAAGAGATTAGTGCAGAAACTAGAGGATCAGGCGCATATAATGGGAAGGGTACAGCAATGGATCAGAGAATACCAGACAGGGAGGCAACAACGAGTCATGGTACGTGATGAGGTATCACAGTGGGCACCTGTGACGAGTGGGGTCCCACAAGGGTCGGTCGTAGGAAAAGTGCTATTTTTGGTATATGTGAACGACACGATGGAAGGGGTAGACTCAGAGGTGTCCCTGTTCGCATATGATGTGAAGTTATTGAGGAGAATTAACCCTTTCAGGGTTCCAGGCCCTCTCCGAGACTTGTTCTCAGGGTCTCCAAATTTAAAAAAAAAAAATTATTTTTTCTTATGAAAAGATAGAGAATATTTTCCCGATCATAATGACACCAAAAGTATGAAATTTGATGGAAAACTTACGGAATTATACTCTCGCAAAGTTAGCGGTCTCGATGATGTTTACACATCGGTGATTTTGCCCACTCTGAGCCCTATTTTTGGCCAATTCCAGTGTACTAGTCGACAAAAATCATAACTATTTCGCTAGAACTCCATTTTTCCTATCGAATGAGTACAAGAAACCACCCATTTACCAATTTCAACTATACAATAAAGTGGTCAGAATTTAGCAATTTTGCCAATTTCATACAAATTTCAAAAGATGCCAATTTCCGAATAGGGTCCAGAATAACCAAGAAAGACATTCCTGGCACTAGAATAACAAGTTCTCTGTTCGTTAGTCACACCCCCAGGCCCCTCTTATATTTCTTTGGCTTTCCACTTTAAATTTTTTTCTTACAAAAAATAGAAGATTTACTGTTATGCAGACTACTGCATTAGTGTAGAAATGGTATAAATAATATCAGCGCACTTGTGAAAGAATATCAGACTCACCAGTTGACGTGTATTGGATGCTTGGTATGATTTGTTTACTTTTGAACTTTGGTAAAAATCAAACATTTCTGCTGCTTTGAGCTCAATTTCAAGATACTTTTCATTGTAAAACCAGTCAAAATTATCTCAATTTCTGTAATATGTCTTCCATTCTATAAAATGAGACCAGGAAAACTAGAATACAACAATAAATACCATACAAAAATACAGTGCAAAGTCACTGTTTTAATCCAAAAACACAGTTTTTTTTTTTCTCATTACGCACTGTGTGCTGCAGGATTTTTTTTATACAGTGGACCCCCGATTAACGATATTTTTTCACTCCAGAAGTATGTTCAGGTGCCAGTACTGACCGAATTTGTTCCCATAAGGAATATTGTGAAGTAGATTAGTCCATTTCAGACCCCCAAACATACACGTACAAACGCACTTATATAAATACACTTACATAATTGGTCACATTGGGAGGCGATCGTTAAGCGGGGGTCCACTGTACTGTGCACACTGACCACACAGACCTATTCTTTCATATGTAGGTCTACCAGCTTTCTCTCACTAGATTTGAGGGCGCTAGAATTTAGGCGTACTAGTACGTCAAAAACCCTGGGGCATAAGCCGTACTAGTACGGCCAAAACCCCGAAAGGGTTAAATCAGATGAGGATCAGGCAGGACTTCAAAGAGACCTGGACAGGCTGGACATGTGGTCTGGCAACTGGCTCTCGAATTCAACCCTGCCAAATGCAAAGTCATGAAGATTGGAGAAGAGCAAAGAAGACTGCAGACAGAGTATAGGCTAGGTGGCCAAAGACTGCAAACCTCACTCAAGGAGAAAGATCTTGGAGCGAGTATAACACCGAGCACATCTCCGGAAGCACACATCAACCAGATAACTGCTGCAGCATATGGGAGCCTGGCAAACCTGAGATTAGCATTCCGATACCTAAGTAAGGAATCTTTCAAGACACTGTACACCGGGTACGTCAGGCCCATACTGGAGTATGCAGCACGAGTTTGGAACCCGCACTGGGTCAAGCATGTTAAGAAATTAGAGAAAGTGCAAAGGTTTGCAACATGGTTAGTTCCAGAACTAAGGGAAATGTCCTACGAAGAGAGGTTAAGGGAAATCGGCTTGATGATACTGGAGAACAGGAGGACTAGGGAAGACATGATAACGACATACAAAATACTGTGTGGAATAGACAAAGTGGACAGAGACAAGATGTTCCAGAGAGGGGACACAGAAACGAGGGGTCACTCTTGGAAGTTGAAGACTCAGACGAGTCACAGGGATGTTAGGAAGTATTTCTTCAGTCACAGAGTAGTCAGGAAGTGGAATAGTCTGGCAAGTGATGTAGTGGAGGCAGGAACCATACACAGCTTGAAGACAAGGTATGATAAAGCTCAGGGAGCAGGGAAAGAGAGGACCTAGTAGCGTTCAGTGAAGAGGCGGGGCCAGGAGCTGTGTCTCGACCCCAGCAACCACAATTAGGTGAGCATGCATTTTTATCATTGATATTGTAAAAAAAAAAAATAGATAAAAAAATCAAGCCTTATAATAGCAACATCAATGTCATTTATACCATGTCTTGATGGTAGTGATTAAAGTGACTACTCACAGGACTAAACAAGCAAGAAAACTACTTACCTTGGCAGAAAGGTTATCATCTGAGGCTGCTTGTTCTGAGGCAGCAACAGAATGTTTGTGAACATCTGTTGTAGCCTGAGGTAGTGAGGGTGTGGAGCTGCACTTGCGGCTGGTTAGTACACTAGTTCCTTGGGTAACATCTGTGCTGACCACCTGTACACAATAAGCTCATCAACTCTCACATAACTCTTGTATGCCTGACAACAACCTAACAGTTTTACCTGACATGAATGAAATACAAAGTAACTCTCTGAAGTTTATGCTCAATAATTAACTTCAGTACTTAACCTTTTCACTGTCACTCACACAGATCTACATTATTTATGCCAGTGGTGCCTATATAGAAATACAGCTTGATCACAGCACTCTCAAGTATGATGTTAGCAGTAAATTTTGGCCTAGACATGAGAGAATGGATCTATACGGTAGGTGTACCTAGCATAAAAAAAATACCTGCTCCATAAAAAGCATGATGGGAACAGGTAACCTCTGATCTGAAGTTTGGGTTAAAATAGTGACAATGAGGAGCTTTCTAAGGTGGTTTATTATGGGGTTCACTGGAGAGATGTTGGCCAGTATGTCTGACAGCTTCACATATACACCTTTCTGATTGTCACATGTCCAGAAAACAGAGCAGCTATTTAGACCATTCTTCCTGTCTACAACAGGAAGAATGCATAACAGCTCTGCAAAACTGACAGGTGATACATTTTAGGTAAACTAACTGATTGGCACACCATGTACAAATAACACCAATTGTTCTTTATTTTATTGCTTGTCTGATTGGTAATTACTAATGGCCAGTAAGGTAGGAGAGTGGTGGCAGGGCAGAAATACTAATAGTCATGGTGGTGGGTGGATTTTGTGCTACCACCCAAATGAGGTGGTACAAGGTAGCACAATGGTGAAAGGTGCCCTGGGTGGGTTTTATGCTGCTAGATGTATAAGGTGGCAGCTAAGTATAGCTTCCAAGAGCAGTGAAAAGTCATACTAATGGTGACTGACTTGAGATGTATTTGGCATCTTCTACCACACTTCACAGGTGATGCCAAACAAACTAAAATACTTCACTACATTTCTATTAATACACTATCACTGTGGCTCAGTTACAAGGTTCTTGTTATACTTAACAAATTCACTAATGACTCTTTCTCATTATATATCGATACCCCAATTCTTTCACTATGTATTCAGTGGAACCTCAAAAATCGAACTTAATCTGTTCCAGGAGCTAGTTCTAAATTCGAAAAGTCTGAAATTCGAAGCAATATTTCCCATAAGAAATAATGGAAATACAATTAATCCGTTCCAGAAACCCAAAAATATTCACACAAAAAATACATTTTATAGAGATTAATTACAGTTTTACATACACACAACAAATGCTATAGTCTTTAATTATGTATAGTAATATAAAATAACATTTTTACTTACCTTTATTGAAGATTGGTGATGGCATCTGGAAGATAGGGAGGAGGAGAGAGGAAGTTGGGGTTATTGTTTGGAAGGAGAATCCCCCTCCATGAGGACTTCCGGTATCAAAGCCCTCTCTGGGGTTGCTTCCCTTCTCTGTATTTTAATGCCACTAGGACCAGCTTGAGAGTCATTGGACCCCAGTCTCACAAAATAACTGTCTACAGTCGTCTGTTTCTGTCTCACAAAATAACTATCCACAGTTGTCTGTTTCTGTCTCACAAAATAACTGTCCAGTTTCTTTGGGCTCATGGCAGCTTATTTCACAGTCCCACAAACACTAAACACAACGAAATAATCGTAAAATGCGTGAATGAGAGCGCAGGTTAGTGTTCACTCAAGCATAAACAAAGCTAGACTGCTCACAGCCCCTTGCGGGGACGCGGACAAAGCGGGCGGCAGACAGGTCCCGTACCCGGCGGTCCGAAAATAGGGGCGCGTTCGATAATAGGGACACAGTTTGTCCGAAAAAATGGTCCTATTTTCAAAACGTTCGATAAGTGATACGTTCAATTTTTGAGGTTCCACTGTATGTCAAATAACTAAATCACTTTGAGTGTACACTTGTAAGGTTATGTGGCACCACTTTTCTAACACTTCATTTATTTAGGTACCTTTATAATGGTAAACATTCACTTGCTATATACTGATAATCCAAACACCTGGGTGAAAATACTTGTAGGCCTAGTTGCCAGTGTTTCCCTTTCGGAATCTTTACCTGTTAACATAAATTTTATGGAACTTTTCAAACAGCTTGTAACTGATGTAATGAGAGCATTAATCTTAGTGAATTTCTCTCTCACTGTTCCATATTCACTCTTTCAATCACATACACAATTTTTTTTTGTGTGGAACACAGGAAAATGCTCCAGCAATGCCCCTAGGGTTAACCCATTAACTGTCCAAACGTAGATCTACATTTTTACCGCTAGCACTCCAAACATAGATCATCGTTTTATTTTTCCTGCCTCCAAATTTGACATGATTGGCCTGAGATGCCTGGTCAGTACAGAATGGGTCTTAACACTGGTGTGAGCAGTATTAAAAAAATCTGGGACCACTTAGTACCTTGTGAGAGTACCAGTTAAATTGAGCACCAGCTAGAGCAAACCGTGGCAAACACCAGGGATTCACTAATGCCATGTTGTATTAACACTCCCCTTTTAAGAGGAAAGTGATGCTGACCCCTAGTTTAGTGACTTTGAGATGGATGTGGCCACAAGTGGCTGAGAAAATATCAAAAACCTCCATAATAACCCATATGCAACATTTTGATACCACTGTAGTGTCATCCTGCGAGAATGTCCTATAACTTATGCCCTTAGTAAAGAGAAACAATTCTGGAACATATATAATATGTGTTTTGCAGACCAGGGAGCTGGCTGGCTGGCTGGCTGGCTGGCTGATTGACTGGCTGTCTCTATCTCTGTGTGTGTGTCTATCTCTGTCTCAGATACACATAAATATAATTATACATAATGTAAATTAATTATGATAACCCAAGAAATCCAGACAGTGCTATATTATGCTTGTAGATATAAGGCATAACAAGCATGACTGGCAAGTAATACACATTGTCACTTGATCAGGAATCAGGCATGACGACTCTGCATTATATATAATATCTGTTGGCTCTGTCTGAGACGGAGACACAAGCAGACAGAGAGACAGGAAGACAAACACACAGGCAGACAGACAGATAAGCAGAGACAAACAGAGGCAGAGCAAGATAGACAGACAGAAGACAGACAGATACAGACAATGTTTATATGCAACTGTGAAAACAAATAAAGCCAAGGTGTTATGCAGGGTTCTACATGACATTGTAATGTATATACAGTGGAGAAGTGTGCCATAACAGTATTAATGTTATAATTGTAAAGCTTAATTTTATAATTCATAATGTGCATTTGGGGATACTGTAAAGTACTTTAAATTGTAAATAAAAGGAAATCCTGCCAGGGATTTATTTTCCAACTGTGTTTTGGTTAGCAGGTAAGCGTGGCTTGGGGTAGTCACGTGGAGTCAGCATGGAGAGAAGGCTGGCGTCTGGGACGTTGTGTATTTAAGCTAAGTTTTGTAGTTGTGCACTCCTTTTGTTTAACTAACTCAAGCCATAGGATCTTCAATGGTTCACCTGTATGCTGACCTAGGTTTTGATATGGTCAGAGACTGTGGGATGAGTGAGGAGATAAGAAATAGGGTCGGTATTGGAGTAGTGAAGGCCGGGCGTTTGCTGGGCTAAGTGTTTATGTTTTGCTGGACTCTCCAGCTGCCTGCTTCTTGTGTACCGTCTGTTAGGCGTGTAGGTTAGGAGATACATAAAGGTGTTTTTCTAAAGAGTGTATATAATGTTATTCTTTATAAATGTTTATTTTCCTAACTAGGGATTTTGCCTACCCCCTCTGATAACCAACCCATTGAAGTAATAAATATTGGTTTAGCCCTTTCTGTTTTGACTGGGATAGCCCTGGGTGGCCTGTTTCTGCCTGAGATGTGTGTAACTTTTACCTTTGCCCTTAGACAATGCCTTAGCCCCCAGGTAATCCCACTTTTCTGCATAACACAAGGTTCCCTGGAGCAGTGCATGGTTATCAACATAAGAGTGCTGCACCGTCAGCAGTGGAATGACACTTGTCTTACACTGTGCTTCAAGGAGCTTCATATACTCCAACATGTCTAAAACACTGATGGGACCTATAGATACTTTGTATATATTTCTAGACAATATTATGTGACCTAGGTAGTAGGTTGGTCTTATTACACATGAAAAATTGCCCTCTTCATAAAAAAAAAAAATCAAAATCTTTGGAGCGCTGGCAGTAAAAACACAGATTTATGTTTGGACAGTTAATGGGTAAAATATTAGCAAAATAAATTATTTTTTTTTTTTTTTTTTTTTTTTTATTATCACACCGGCCGATTCCCACCAAGGCAGGGTGGCCCGAAAAAGAAAAACTTTCACCATCATTCACTCCATCACTGTCTTGCCAGAAGGGTGCTTTACACTACAGTTTTTAAACTGCAACATTAACACCCCTCCTTCAGAGTGCAGGCACTGTACTTCCCATCTCCAGGACTCAAGTCCGGCCTGCCGGTTTCCCTGAATCCCTTCATAAATGTTACTTTGCTCACACTCCAACAGCACGTCAAGTATTAAAAAAACCCTTTGTCTCCATTCACTCCTATCAAACACGCTCACCGCATGCCTGCTGGAAGTCCAAGCCCTTCGCACAACAAAACCTCCTTTACCCCCCTCCCTCCAACCCTTCCTAGGCCGACCCCTACCCCGCCTTCCTTCCACTACAGACTGATACACTCTTGAAGTCATTCTGTTTCGCTCCATTCTCTCTACATGTCCGAACCACCTCAACAACCCTTCCTCAGCCCTCTGGACAACAGTTTTGGTAATCCCGCACCTCCTCCTAACTTCCAAACTACGAATTCTCTGCATTATATTCACACCACACATTGCCCTCAGACATGACATCTCCACTGCCTCCAGCCTTCTCCTCGCTGCAACATTCATCACCCACGCTTCACACCCATATAAGAGCGTTGGTAAAACTATACTCTCATACATTCCCCTCTTTGCCTCCAAGGACAAAGTTCTTTGTCTCCACAGACTCCTAAGTGCACCACTCACTCTTTTTTCCCTCATCAATTCTATGATTCACCTC